TTTCGGTAGATTTTTACGTGACTAACATAAGGCTACTGTGGAAGTGCCCATTTCGGTTACAACGACATTCGTTTATAACGACACTATTTTTAGGTCCCTTTGATGATGTTATAACCAAGTTCTACTGTATATAGTGTGTTACTACACTCCTATTTTCCTTCCTTTCACTCAACAAGTTTACTGATACTGTAAAAGTTAAAATACAGTAAACTCCCGGTTATCCACTCACTTCCAGGAATCTTGCGTTCTCATGCAACCAGCAAAGCTATAAGAAAATCTACCATTTTTATAAAGTTACTTAGAAGACAAAATTGTCAAGCACCCGTGTTCACTCGTCACGTGGTAGCTGTCCAAACTGCGACTAGCAGAGAGGCTTGTCATCCTCCCTCAAGCATGAGCCATGACAAAAGAGGCTAACTGAATGTATCCATGTTAGTGCATCTAAAATCTTTTACCTATCAATCCATTATGTCACGGAGAAAGACTCCCATATGTGAACCAAAGCAATGTTCCTTTGACTTCTGTTTTAGTTCCTATATGAGTTTCTCTCGCCCAACCGGCACACCCCATTCTCCGGGCATGTCTGATAATGGGGAGTTTACTGTACTTTTCAAATTCCAGTACTTCACTTTTTTTTCCCCATTTTTCACACAAAGATCACCTCAATATTATTCTGAATCACACTTTTCAAACCAATATTTAACACCAGATTAGATTATTACAAGCATTCTTTTAAGGTTTATATTTTTGTACCTGCTATTCATAACCATAAAATTAGGATACTACAACTGAAACAGCAGAGTGCCAAACCTTGAGTCGAGTATTGCTGCACCAGTCGTTAATGTCAATAGAGCCAAGACCTCCTATAACGAGCTCCAACTCACGTTCATCAAAAGGTCGTAATAACTGACTTGGGATCAACTCTGTAAAGCCTTTCTGAAGTGCTAGGAATTGTTGTTCAATACCACGCATGAATCGGTAGTTAACATACAGCCTGTAACATTTCACAAATCAATAAAACATCAATCACATCTGCTCAGGACTTTATGTAAAAATACAAAATATGTAATATATTGGATAGGGCCATATACGAGGGGGTACCCAAAAGAAACCGAACTTATTTTTTTTAAACTTATTTATTCAAATTTTAAGCACAAACCTTCAATCTCCTTCAAAGTACTCTCCACTTACACTAATACACTTGTCTAGTCTTTTATTCCATTTTTCAAAACATTGTCTAAATTCATCTTTTGAGATGCTTGACAGCGCCTCCGTCGTTTTTTTCCTTCACCTCAGCAACATCAGCAAAACGCTTTCCTTTCATGTCTCTTTTCATTCGAGGAAACAAAAAAAAAGGCGCACGGGGCAAGGCAAAGCACAGTATGCTTCCACATGACCTTGTTTTTGTTCAGCAGTCAGCAGTCGTGGCACGAA